GCCAGGTGACACACGTGCCAAGGGCACGGGCCTGCCAAGTCCTGCTGTCCCCTCCCTCTAATGAGGGGCTGGTGCCGGCGTTATGATCCGGACTCCCGCTCCGGGCGAAGGAAGAGGGAACTGCGCCTTGGCAGCGTGAGGAAGCATCTGCACAGTCTTACCGCTGGCCCGCCTCCCGCCCACCGCATGCAAAGGAGGAAGCAGCAGGCCGCTCAGCAGCTGGAGCCGAGGCTGAATCACAGCGTCCTGAGGAGGGCGCCCCGCCCCTGCAGGCTCTTCATCCCCGGTGCTGACCCCCTGGGTGATGGATACGCCCTGTCTGGCCCTGGGTCTGGAGGGCCGGAGAGCCCCTCCCAGTCTCCAAGCTAGGGGCTTCCACCTGGCCTGTCCACAAGAATCCCCCGGGGAGATTTGTTTTTTTTGGTGGTAAAATTCATATAACATAAAATTCACCATTTTAAAGCGTACAGTTCAGTGATGTTTAGTACATTCACAATGTTGTGCAACCACTACTTTATCTAGTCCCAGAATATTTTCACCACCCCCAAAGGAAACCCCATCCCCATTAGCTGTCACTCCTCACCCCCTCCCCCAGCCCTAAGCAACCACTAACCTGCTTTGTCTCTGGGTTTGCCTGTTCTGGACATTTCCTATACATGGAATCATACACCGTGTGGCCTTTTGTGCCTGGCTTCTCTCACTCAGCATATTTTTGAGGTTCATCCACGTTGTAGCGAGATCAGTCCTTCCCTCCTTTTAGGGCTGAGTAATGTTCCATGGTATGGATATGCCACAGTCTGTTCATCCATGAGTCTGGTGATGAGCATTTGGGTTGTTTCCACCTTTCGGCTACCGTGAACAGTGCGGCTGTGAATTTCCATGTACGAGATTTGAACACCTGTTTCCAACTCTCTTGGGTTGACACCTAGCAGTGGAACACCAGGTTGCACGGCAGTTATCTACCCTGTGCTCAGCAGACGCATGCGATTGCTGCGGGGCAGGTTCACCGACCACAGGGCCCTTCCTGTGCAAGGTTTCCTCAGGGTCGTTGTGCGTGGGGCCTGCTCCTGTGGGAGCCTGGGATGGACAAGCGCAGGTGCAGGGAAGACCTCAGACCCTTACACAGCCCGTCCCCTAACAGGCAGACTGGGGGTGGGGCTGGGTACCCCGCTGTCCCCACTTCTGGTTCATCCGCACGCAGCACCTTCAAGGTTCCTGCGGTCAGGGCCCCTGCCTGGCCCTCAAGGGCGAGCTCGGTGAAGAATGAGCTGTGGGCCCGACCTCCATGCCCTGCCCTCTCGGGGCCCCCGTGGACTCTCAGGTTATCTGCGGTCGTGGTGGATTGGTTGTTCGTGTTTTTGGTTTTTTAAAAAAAAGCAGCTGTTCCCTAGGATGAGGGTCCATGCCAGGGCAAGAAAGGTCCCCTCAAAGCCCACATCCACGGCCTTCAGGCACACCTGTCACCAGGAGATCACCTACCATTGACCAGAGTGGACATGACTGAGTGCTAGCTCTGTGTCAGGCACATGGCCCTATACTCTGTGCTCCAAGTGAAGGCCCACAAGCCAGAATGGACCCCAAGCAGCCTGAGCCTAGGGCCAGGGCCCTAGTTCAACACCTGTGCCCTGGATGGTGACATCTGCTCTAGAACGTTCCTCCCAGGTGGGCCCCAGGTATCCCACTGCAACCACCCAACAAGGCCTGTCTCCTCGGACAGGCATTGCACACCGGACCCCATGGATCGGGTCTTCCCGGAGATTTTTCTTTTTTTATTATTTTTTTTTTCCCCCAAAGCCCCAGCAGATAGTTGTATGTCATAGATGCACATCTTTCTAGTTGCTGTATGTGGGACACGGCCTCAGCGTGGCCGGAGAAGCGGTGCGTTGGTGCATGCCCGGGACCCGAACCCAGGCCGCCAGCAGCAGAGCGCATGCACTCAACTACCAAGCCACGGGGCCGGCCCTCTTCCCGGAGATTTAATCCCCTTCCTCTGTAAGCTCTCCCCACTGAGGACTTCTCTCTCTAGCTGAGTCTCACCCGCTCCTTCATCCACTTCATTCCTCCCATGACTGGTCATTTCCTAGTGTCGCTGTCCCCATAAAGTGAGGCAGACACAGATATACAGATGCCAGCAGGAGGGACAGAGACTTAGTTTCCAACCTGCTGCATTACTAGCTGTGTGAGCCTGGCCAGGAACCGAGCCCTTCTCTCTGGCAGGCACTCCCTCCGTGAGGCGGGCCCACGATGCCTACCTCTGCGTGTGTGTGTAAGGAAGAAACGAACGCAGGTGTCATACTGAGCGTGGGGAGCCTGGCACCCGGCTCCTGAGTTCCGTTCCGGCCAGCAGACAGGAAAGGATCCACCTTCTTTTTAGGTTACACCTCTATTAAGGTAGGCCATTGTGGCAGGTGGCACGCCCCGTCTGTGTCCTAGGCCCTCATTACTGCTTTGAGGCTGCTCTTTATTCGAAGGCTGACCGCAGTCCTTACGTGGTTGCTACAGAACATCACCTTGTTAGGTTACCCCATGTAGGTTCCCATCTAGGAGCTGCAGTAACCACAGGTCCCTAAAAATCTCGGTACCTCCACACCTCTTCTGTTCTTGGCTTAGCGTCAATGTGCGGTCTGGGCATCCATGCCTGTCCGTCTGTCTTCTCCCATCTCAACTATGCGACCCTACAAATGCCCAAACTCGGAGCGTACACACGTGCTCCCTGTAGCTGCCGTGAGAGCGCTCGGTCCGTCTCATCTCAACAGGAGGCCCGCTCGGCGCCTCCAACCCCATCTCCGGAGAGGGCGAGCAGGGCAGCAACCAGGCCAGCACAGGAAGGAGACAGGAGCAGGAGAGCCTGTCCTGAAGGCAAGTAACACGCGTAGATGTAGACCTCGAAGGCCAGGCCAGGAACCCTCCCAGCGGGCAGGGATAGGAGAGACCTCCAGTCCAAGTTTCTTCTTTTGGGGAGGAGGTATCCAGGTCCCCAAAGAGACAGGTGAACCCCAGGCCCACAGCCAGCGTGGGGACTAAGCCCCAGCTCAGTGCTCCGGGGTCTAGAATGCCATTCCACAACCACATCTCCTACAGTGCTAGGAGGTCCTTACAATGGAGAAACTTGGCCTAGTTTACAAAAAAAAATTCTCAAGTTTAATCATTTGTCAACACTAAAACTGGGAAATTTCACATACTCCAGATTTCAGGTCTCTCTAGAAAAATCAAAAGATGTGCTGTGTCTGAGACAGGGCCTGGGTGTTCCAGGGAGTCCCTTCTGCAACATGCTGTCTTATGCTGGGGCCATGTCCTCACACCCAGGACCTGTCTGGGCCTGTGGGACGAGGATGGGCCGTGACCGAGGTTTTCATGGTGCTGAGGAGTAGATGGGCTGTCCACGCCTATGCAGGGCAGGCAGGCGGACCAGACGGCTCTGAAGTAAACAGTGCACAAGCCCCTCGTTCTGATATGTCGAAGCTACACTCAGATCCACGGCCCACATCTGAGGACGACACACTACCACGTGCCTAAATGCCTACACTCTCAGGGCTGCTGGGGACAGGGAGACCTTGCAGGGCCCTCAGCAACACCTTCAAACCCTCGAAGCAATAGCAGCCACGGAGCACAGTTAAAAACTGCAAGGTCACCAATGTGACCTGCCAAGGATGACCTGTCACAGGGAGAGCAGGGCCTCAGCGACTCCCTCCTCGTCCCTTGGCCTGGACCTTTTTCTTCCCAGCACCTCATCAGCACCCCGATCCCACACGGCCTCCGCCCTTTCCGGTCAGTTCGTCCTCACCTGTGATGTGAAGGCGGATGTTTAGCCAGTTGGCATACAGAAAACAGACTGGACAGGCAGAGATGAAAAATTAACGGCTGTCTTGGTTTAGGCAATGGTTTCTTAGAAATGGTACCTAGTAGATAAAATGGGCTTCACCAAAATTAAAAACTTTTATGCTTCAAAGGATACCATCAGGAAAGTGAAGAGACAACCAACAGAATGAGAGAAAACATTTGCAAGTCATACATCTGATAAGGGACTAGTATCTAGAATATATAAAGAGCTCTTAAACGCAATAATAAAAAGACAACCCAATTAAAAAATGAGCAAAGGATCTGAACAGACATTTCTCCAAAGAAGATACGCAAATGGCCAATAAACCCAATAAACACATGAAAAGATGCTCAACTTCAGGGAAATGCAAATCAAATGAGATTGCATTGATTGTATCACAATGAGATACCACTTCACATCCACTAGGATGGCTATAATTAAAAAGACAGATAGTAAGCATTGGTGAGGATGTGGAGAAATCGAAATCCTCCTATACTGCTGGTGGAATGTAACAGGGTGTAGCCACTTTGGGAAAAAAAGAGTTTGTCAGGTCCTCAAACAGTTAAACACAGAGCTATATGATTTTACTCCTAGGCATACGCCCAACAGAAATGAGAACTTACATCCACACAGAAACTTGTACACATACACTCGGAGCAGCACTACTCATAACAGCCGCAAAGTGGCAACAACCGTCATCAACTGAGGGAGGGCTAAACAATGGAACGGTATGTGGGCCATAAAATGGAGTGAGGCACGGCCATGCCACTCCGTGAAGGAGTCTTGAAAACACGCCAGCGAGAGAAGCCAGTCACCAAGGCCAGGCACTGTACGTTCCCATTTACATGAAATGTTCAGAACAGGCCCATCCATAGAGACAGCAAATCAGTGGCTGCCCTGGGCCGTGGAGAAGGGATCAGAGGTTGATCCGCTAATGGGTAAGGGGTTTCTTTAGGTTTTAGGGTGATGAAAATGTTCTGGAATTTTAGGAGTGATGGTTGCACAACTGTGTGAATATACTAAAAACCACTAAATAGTACACTTAAAAAAGGAAAATTTACAGTATATGGATTATATCTCAAAAAAAAAAAAAAATTAACATGCTGATTCAGAACCCATTCCAGGTTGTCATCAAAGAGAAATGGGTCAGGTGGAAAAAGAGCGTTACACAATTCTTTTTAGCTTCATACAGGTAATGCATATTTATTGAAAATTTTCTTCACCAACAATGGTGAAATCAAGACCCCAAATTACAAAACATGATGGCAGTTGATACTTATAAAAATAAAGCAAAGGTCTATGTTTCACAGATTTGTGCAAGTTTCCTTCAAATCTCAAGTCTGTCCTTTCATCAAAAAGGAAATCACGGAATCTGTGTTATTCCTCATGATGTAATAGTAAAAAATTGCATTCCATTGACAAAAAAAATAGCTTTGCTTCCAAATAGCATAAGTCTTTAAAGTGACTTTTTCCCAACAATAAATATAGAAAATAGCCTTTAACGAGCATATTTTAGCTTGGTCAGAGTTGTTTCACTGTTTAAAAGTACAGACTCCTTCTCGGGCCAGGAGACTCCAGGCAGCCTCCTGAAGTTCTCCAAGTCTTTGGTGCGAGCAGCGGCCAGAAGAAGTGGTACTCTGGGCAGCTCCGCTGAGGCCCTCCTGCAGCCCCCGGACACGAGACACATCAAGACGTACCGGGAGCCTCCGAGCATCACGGGGGGAGGCCCATTCAGAACGGACTCTAAGACACCCCTAGCTGAAGACTCGATCCCTTTTAAGCAGGCGGCCCGCCTGGAAACTTCCCAGCTCCGCCTGCCCACGCAGGCCGCCCACGCAGGCTCTCTCTGGCTCTCCCGGTCAGCGGTCTGATGTCACACTGAAGGGGTCTTTGGTGGGTGAACCTGCTGCATGAGCTGTGGGCGCTTCACCCTGGGCTTCCTCCGCTTCGGCCTGCTTTTGGCCTTGTTGATCTGTACCACAAAGAAGGCCAGGACCACCATGGCTCCCAGGAAGGCGAAGACGGGAATGGTCTGGCCCACCTCCTGGTTGTAGCGGCCAGGCATGATCCCTGCAAGAGGATAGCGGGGGACCGGTCAGTACGCCACAGCCTCTTCCCCTAGGAGAGGCGGGCTCATCGGACACGAAATGCTGACTAATTTCATTAGCTAAGCTTGTGGGGCAAATGATTTTTAAACCTTAGCGACAGTGACCCAGGCCATTAGGAGAGAATGACCGAGAGACCTGCGGCTGGTTGCGTGCTCAGGTTACCAGCTTCCGGGGTGGGTGGGAGGTGCAGAGGGGTCTTTGTTCCTCCTGCCCCCTGTGTTCATCTCAGAGAGAGACCAGAACAGGCCTTTCATCTGTCACAGACAACCTACAATAGGGGGGTCCAGAGCTGCTTTTTGTTTCCCTAAATACAACGGAAGATGGATAAATCTGGATGCTGGGGGGGCAGGAGAGGGTGCTGGTGTTGTACTAGGTGAGTGGGAGAAGAGGGAGGAGGCTGGGCAGGGAGGTAAGGACAGCCGGCTGTGCCCTGCCCTCCTGGGAAAGCCTTCCAGAGAGGACATGTGGTCGGAAACTGAGAGTGGCCACTGGAGGACCCTTGGTTTACAATGTCAGTATGACTTGGAGCAATGCTGGGGTTCCAGAACTAACCATCATCAATGCACCCCACAACCTGCAGGCAAGGCCCTGAGCAGCCTGGCATCACCACACAAAGCTCCCAGGGTTGGATCACATGGGCCATGAAACCCCTTCCCGATCCCGAGCTTCGGCTCAATTCCTGCAACCAGAAGAAATTCCCCTGGGGAGCTGTAAACTCTTGGAAGAGCAGAGGGATTTCCAGAGTGAAAAAGCTGCCCACACTCTGCTGGGATGACTTGGTACCTATCATCCCAGGTAAGGGAGAACCCGTCCCCAACGGTCTAGTCAGGCTAAAAGCCATTACCTGTGGAGGGGACATCTTAAGTCACCTGGGGTGAGGGGACAAAATCAGATCACCTAAGGGGCACACACCCGCATTTAATGGAGAATCCCAGCCCAGTAAAATCCCTTCCCAGTGAGCCCAGGCAGAGAATCTGGGCTGAGGGTTTAGGGACCAGGGTGGCTACAGCCACTGGCTGGGACCAAAATCAGCAGATGACAGGCACCCCTTGGGGTGCATAATACACGTTTGTTTGCAGAACTTCAACAACAGTGCAAAAGCTACTGTCTTAGAAAAATTTTAAGTGTAATACCTGGACATCATAAAAGAAATTCAAATTTGAAAGTACAGGCAGAATTTTCTGAGAGACAATGGTGTGTTAATCTTTTAGGCCTGCTTTTGGCCTTGTTGCTTCATACCATGATGGCTGCCAGAAAGGCCAAAACAGGAATTGTCTGGCCCACCTCCTGGGGGAGGGAAGGAGACCTTGAACAAACTACAGTATGATTTAGCACAATACAGCACCTAAGAACTGACCTCCAGGAATGTCCCAGGCACCACTCTCTCCGGGAGACAAGGGTCTCACTTGAGGGCGATTCGATCGAAAGTTGGGTAATACCACTTTGTCCAGGTCAATGGAGAGTAACTTCTGATGTTTCCAAAGATTACTTCAGGAAAATGAATTAAAACAAGATAAAATAAGCAACTGTACTAGCCTAAGCAGCCTAGCCAACACCCGAGACACAGAAGGTGATTTAAACAGAAAAGCGCAATGGCATCCCAACTGTCCTACCTAATGCAACTGTGTAACAACTCCAGCGACACCATTCAGGTCCCATACCCAAAGTCAACATCAAGTACACACGCATGCGAGTCTAACATTCTGAGTAGGGGTCAGTTCTACTGGGTTCACAACACTGTTTCCGCTGAAACTGGAAACCTTACCAAGCAGTGGGAGAGGAACCTATACATTAACCTCTGAAGGGAGCCCGCAGATGGCGGAGCCCAAGCCAGGGCTCAGCGGACACGGGCCGAGCTGGAAGGCGCAGCGAGGTCTCTGCCGCGAGGCACCGGAGCCGGCCGAGCCTGTTTTCTGAGGAATGAATGCAAACCAATGCAGCAAAGGCGGCTACATGGGTGCCAGGAGCCAGCCATCGTCTCTGTCCTCACGGACACCACCATCAGAGGGAGAACAGGCAGACAGACAAGTAACCAAGTAGTCAGGAGAAGGAAACCATGGGAAAAAGCATCTGCCTTGCCTTCTGGGCCAGGACAAAGAAAGGAAACATGTGTGCTTTGTCAAACGTACTGGACTCACTATGGCAGCACTGTTACTATTAATTCTGAAACTTGAAGAACTTGTTCAGGGCAACACAACTTATACCTGAAGAACAGAGGCTGATCTGCTGCCAATTGCATCAGACAGCTTGGGAGGACACCCAGATCAGCATAAAGAACGCAAATGGAAGATGTGAAGACTATTCTGGCTAAAGTGAGGGAAAGGAATAAAATACGTTTACGAATCATGAGTTCCTCATTTTTCCGCTTTTTAGTCATTTGGAAATGGTTGGCCTGTCTCTTCCTTTGGCCAACTGAAAGCAAAGATGTTTAGTTCTATCAGCAATCAGGGGGAAGGTCGGGGGGAAGGTCAGCGGGAAGCCAGACGACGCCAGGTCTGTGAAGAGGCTTTCTGTGCAGGAAAGAGATAAACTACTACTATCTCCTTCCAGCTGGGCGACTGCTTGGAAAATGCCATGACTATTACAACTTGTTCTACTTTACATGATTTAACTTTACATTTCAGGTTTAATCAGTCTGAAAATTAAACTGACAACGTTAAGTTATGGAATCAATGACATTTAAGCTTTATGACCCTGTAGCTGAATATAAACGGGGCTATATTTTAATTCTAATAGGTGACATCCTGTTCTGGAATTTAATTATCTGGCAATGGCGCTTTCTAGTTACACAATTGTGGTAACAGTGTACTACATTATCATTTGGGAATTTCACAACATTCTGAGGGAGGGACAGAGGGTTAACCTTGCCCAGGGGCTCCTCTTGGGTGTGGCACTCCTGAAACTGCTCTAAGTAAGAACACCTGACGCCCAACAGAGGAACCGGGCAAATGACTCTTCCTCTCAGAGATGGACCAGAAACTTGCACTCAGCACTGGGCGGACGACACCCTAGGCCTTTCAAGGGCTGTCTGTAGCTGCCTGATATTGTCTCAAATCCCTTTACAGATTTAGAATCTAGACCTAGATCTAGGTCTCTGAGGACTGAGAATAATTTTCAACAAGATGTGAAACGTGAGATAAAGGTGAAGGCTGGTGGAGGAATTAAGAAGGAATCCCTGAGTAATGGTGAAAATCAAATCCAAGGAGCTGCAACGTTATCGGCTTCCTTCACCGGCCAGGCCAGTAACTGATGGGTTATTTGATGAGGACATGCAGAGACCAAGGACATTATCTGTTTCTCAGAGTCCTGAATGGCACCAAGGAGAATAAGTGGGTTTTCGGAACTTGAGCCCACACCAACTGCCCACTGAGTATGAACTGCTGACCACAGCTGGAATTAAAGTCTGGTCTGAATACTAGGATAATGGCAAGTTATAAATAAATGGGATGTAAAAATGGAATCTTATCAGAAATTTTTAAATGATGGGATGTTAACTGGAATGGAAAAGTACTCAGTAATTAAAGTTCCAGGAAGAAAATTGCTGATGAGGAGACAATGTGATGATTCTACAACTCTACTGTTTTCTACTGAGCCTGTTCTACAGGAGACATATGATCAGTGAGCAGTGCACTTGTGCTTCTGTGCATGACGAGAGGAAAGCAGAGGAGGCTGCAAGGCTCTCCTGCAGACGTCCTCCTCCTCGTGGCTCACAGCGTAGACCGTGGCCCTCTGTCCCCTGCCACACCTCCCTCCTCCCCCCAGCCAATCAACACCTGTACATACTGAGAGCCAAGCCAAGTGGGCAGCCTGGTGGGGAAGAGAAGGCAGGAGCCTCCCTGGGGAGCATGGGGGAGCCCCCGGCTCCCGGTGTGCGTGAGGCACACTGCCTGAGTGAAGACAGTGTCTCATAGCAGCCCTGCTCAGAGCAGAGGGAGTGGGAGGACTGCTCCCAAAACTGCCCTCAGGACACTGGCCTCTGCTTCACTGTGCCAGGACCCCGCATCAGGAAAAGCCCCCATTCTCCTTGTCAGAGCAGGATACTGTCCTGGGGGGCCAGGGACGCCAGAGAGAAACAGGGAGAAAGAGTGACGTGGAGAAAACCCAGAACAAGGGTCCTGAGCTGGCTGCTCTGCCTGAAGACAGAAACAGCAGTGATAACTCAAGTGTCAGCTTCTGAAAGGAAACGAGGCAAATTAACAGGTCGAGTCAGACAGATGGAGAAGCAGGCAGATCAACAGTGTCTGGGCACCATGACAGAAGTGCCACGACTGTAACCCTGTCATGGAATGAGGTGGTTTTCCCAGGGACAGCACTGAGCACGGGTGAGGGCACACATGCACACCGTGGGCCAGGCTATGACCGAGAAGCCAGCTTGACTCCGAGCAGCCTCAGCCCCTTGGGCACGACAGAGGACAGCGCCTGTCTGTATTTCAGAATCGACACCACGAACAGGGAACGCCCAACTCCCGCAGCCCGAACCAAAGGAGTCAGAACTCCTGTCCGACTGACATCACCATCTGGCCACAGCTTTTTAAGACAGAATCAAACAACCCTAACAAAATGCTAATTACCCAAAGCACTTCTTCATGTAGGATACCACCAGAGAGCATAATTCTAAAGGTTAATACGGGGGCTCACTAATTTAAATAAGCGTCACAAAATGACAAGCTAGAAGATTTGATTATTCGCTAATGATGTCAGTAAAATTCCATCCTCTCTTATTAAAAAAGAATGACTCATAAACCCTGCAGAAAGAGTGGAAAAGCACAGGAAGACACTAACCTGGGAGCCGTCTCATTTAAGGGCTGTGGCTTGGCCCATGACAGGTGTGGACAGGCGGGCAGAGCCCGAGGCGCCGGGCCTCCCAGATGGGCCTCGAGGACCTTGGAGTACCGGTGCAGGTGGCTCCCTGGCGGCATCAGCACCAACAACAGGCAACCACCGTTGTGAGGGAGACACGAGGGGAAAAATGAGACCGTGTTAGTTTGTCTGCTTTCCTGCCGACAGGCCCACTCTGCGCGCTCCTAACCTGTCTTCCAGGTGCTTCAGGAGCGGGACCTGAGTGGTGCCTCCCTCGTGACACGTGCTCACTGCCGAAGGTGAGTGAACAGATCAGGGCAGCCGTTCCCTTGAAAGCAGCCACGCTGCGTGGCAGTGACCGGGCAACCTTTACTAACCATAAATACGTGCACGAGGTTATACCTGAGGACTCTAACCTGTAGATACGCTTCATGGAAAGATCTCTCTTTAGTATTTAACTCTCAGGCAAAAAAAAAAAATCTGCATTTTCAAACCTCAAAATTTCTTTTACTTCTTAGATCTGCACTGTCCAATACTGTAGCCACTAGCCACATGTGGCTATTGAGCAAATGAACTGGGGTGTCACATTTAAATAATAATATTTTGGTGTAATGGGCTAAAATAAGTATTTTATTAAAATGAATTTGCCTGTTTCTTTTTACTTCTTTAATGTGACTACTGGACAGTTTAGAATTACACCGTGGCTCACACTACATGGCTGTGGATGGTGCTGAGGACCACAACGTTCGGGCCTGAGGGCCTGCAGACCAGCCCCGCCCGCACAAAGCAGACAAGGCCACAGTCACCACGGAACCTTCTCTTCAGACTCCACTGCGTAACCACTCGGTGACCCTGAGTAGTTTCTTAACTTTCCTCAGCTCCTGTTTCTCTATCTGTGAACTGGAAAGACTACTACCTATTTTCACAGGGTTCTGAGAGGACTTAGGGAGATAATCTGTGTAAAGCACCTCCCGCCCGGTGCCTGGTACCTAGTGAGTGCTCAAAAATGCTGGCTGTCCCTCCCACAGACCCCGGGAGCCAGTGTCTCCGTCCATGAGAGTGGGACAGCAAACGTTAACTCAGGCGCTGTGAGGAATAGGGCGAGAGCAGGGGAAGCAGCTGGCACATGAGGCCCTCAGCAAATGTCCACTCTGTGCACGGGTGAACGGCCCCCTCTGCAGGGCAGAGCCACTGGCTACTCTTCCGCCTGCAGTCACGAAGGAAAATAATCAGCGGCACGGCTAACTGGCTCCATGTTCTGGGAGGCCCGACGATTTCCTGAAGCAGCCTCGAGTCAGGCTTCCTCCAATTACCCTCTGCTGAGCACCCTCGGGCCCACTCACCTTCCATCCTCTCCGGAGTCACCGAGCCTGCTCCGCTGGGAGGGCGCTGCCGATTCCCAGAATGACTGAGGCTGGGAGGGGTCACCCCATACGATGTGTATTGAAGGAGTGCGTCCAGGAGCCAAAAGCAGTCTGTGGGTGCAACAAGCAGGCTGTTTAAGGAATTCAATTTTTTTAAAGGAATCTCTACAGGAAAATAAAAGCCCCCAAAATGTGGGGAGAAATGGGAGGTGAGATGATTAGGTCAAAGTAAACCCCTGCTCTTGAGAAACGTGCACTCTCCGTCGTCAGTGCCAGCCCACTGAGAGCAGCATAAAAGACATAACCTGACCATGGGCTTCACACTCAGCCCCAGGGCTCAGGCAGGCCAGCACCACTGTGCACTGGGCTGGACAAGCTACCCGAGCACTACTCAGCTCTGGGCCCCTCAGGACGGGGACAGAATGGAGTTCATTCAGGAAGGCGAGAGCACGTGACACCCACTGAGAGAAGAACCGTCCAGAAGGCGAAGTCCAGGCAAGGGGAGAGCAGAATGGGGCACCAAAACTTCTGTCAATGCCCAAAGGCTGTCCTGGGGGAAGGATCTAGATTTCCCCTGTGAGGGCAGAGCCAGGACCACGGTGTGCACTCCATGGGGAACTGGGTTCAATGTCAACACAAGGGCATAGTCTGGCAACTTGGGCTGCCCTCTGAGTGAGAGGGCCCCAACAACCCTCTCGTGTAAAAGCAGAAAATGATCTGTTATTTGGGGGCCACCACAGGGGGGGTCTAGGTGCTGGACTCCTCTCTCTCAGGAGCCCGAGATGCTGAAGTCTTTAAACCTGGGGGCGCTGCTTCCATCCTGCTTCTCCCCGTGTCTGCCACTCCAAGTCCCATCACACCAGCCTGGACCCAGTGAGACTCACGAGACAGACACCAGGAGGCACTTCTCTCAGTAAAGAGCACTTCTGGTCAAGTGCTTAAGGCCCCCAAAAGGCCCTCCACGCTGCCACCTGAAAGTCCAAGGACCAGGACAGTCCTCTCAGGCATTTAAAATGTTAATAAAGACTCTTACCAGGAGATCCCAGGTCTTAAAAGAAAATCTCTGTGGAAATAAAACATTAATCTTCTTTCAACTCTAACTTTAACCTTCACTTTTGATTTTTAAAAAGACCAATCACAGTCTAAGGATTTACATAAAATGCTAGGAATTTAGCCAACTTTAACTGCAAATCAGAGAGAGCTGCACCACAACTCCCAGCCATGCTCTAGTGGCCACGTTCCTTCCGGGTAAGCCTGCTCACTATTTACAAGTGTGAGGATATAACTTACCACCTCCCCATCCGCCCTCAATTCTCCAGGGAGTTAGAGGACTAGGTTTTTAGTCCTGGTGTGGTCAGCACTTTACCAGGCAAAAAGGTGGAACACTTCTGCCACTCCATTTCCTCCTTTACAAAATGAGAAAAATGAAGTCTGTGTCCAAGCTCAAAACCCCCAAATTTAAAGCATGCATCGAGAGATGCTGAAAAAGAGGACGGGTGCTAAGGACCAGCCTCCCTGTCACTGAGAAAGGCTCGCAACAGTTAAAATTCCCAAGTCTGGCAGGAGAGGCAAGTGCTGGCCCCCCAGGAAAAGAGTGGGTCTGACCTGAGAAGGGGCACCTGCAGGGCAGTTCCAGTGAGAACAGACTCCAGAGGGGGAGCCGGGGAGGGCGGGCAGAAACCAGGTAAACTGGGCAAAGGGTCTCTCCACTAAAATGCAGTGGTCTTGGCACCCGCTGGCCTCAGGACGACGAACATGGAGGGGAAGGCAATGTAGCCTGAAAACCCAGTTTTTTTGCTATTAAATGTGTCCAGACTTAGATACCTATCAAAATATTCCAACCTATCAAAGCGGCTAGAGCTTCCCCAGCTGCACCTGGCTCTCAAGAGTAGGTTTCTATTCATTTACCAGCACCTCATCAGTGCCTTTTCAGGGACAAGGGGGAGTGAGGATTTGTACGTCAAAGTCACGAAGCCCACTCTGCTTTTGAGTCACCCCACCAGTTCTCACCTTTCTGTCGGTGACTGTCATCCAAGCAATTGGAATCTCCGTACAGCACAATCCGGCCTCCGCCCTCAGCTGGAATCTGATAAAGTCCCAAAATGGGCACGTTTTCAACAACTGCTGTTTCCTGCTTTAAAACCTCCAATCCTGAAATAACACAACAAAAACAGCCATGCGAATTTTTGTAAAGAATTAATTATTTTCTACTTGCCACTTAACTTGACATTTAGTCCATGTGACAAATAAAAAATAACAGCAAAATCTAATATTCAATCACAATAGTGCAAACTTTTAGGATCGGAAAACAGTATTTTACGTGCCATTCATTTGGGTTTTAGCAAATTTCACTTACATGTATATTTTTATATATATGTATAAGTATTATACATATATATACATATATATTCCATATCCAATCTCTTTCGTTTTTACCAGAAATGGTGGTACATAGTAATTACAATCCTAAAGATGTCGCTTCTCCCTTTTTATCCTAAAAACACAAATTTTTGTTCCTTCTTATTATGCCGGAAGGCTTACATCTTCCGACTGTATACACAAGGGGCAGCCATCCAGGAGTCTCTTGCTGAACACACAGGTACCTCTATGGATATAGTTATATATACTAATACCCAAGTTTCATGTTTTCTTATTAAAAGCTAGGACAAAACTAATTTTTAAAACATGTCCACATATTTTAAATCTAGATTTAGGTATTTGTTACATTAATCTCACAAATACAAATGTTCCCACAGCAGAGCCTTCTTACCTCTGCCCAATTTACAAAGTTTAATGAATCAAGAAGTCAAAAATGCATGAAGGCCACAGACAGCCACTGCCAGACATCATCACATAATTGAGAGTCTCTACCCGTGAAGCAAGGGCTTTCCTCGGCACCAGGAGATGACGCACATCTCCATCAGAAGCCAGGATTTACCGTGCTGACATCTAAAATGTCTGTCGCTATAAAAATGCAGCATTTCCTGCTCCCTGTGTATAATCCCACTAGGAACAGAGTGGAAGAGAAAACAAGGTTTCCTTTGTTGGGAGGGAGAGAGAGAGCAATAAAACCTAGGACACGGCGAAAGTGCATGCGGTACTGCTGTTTGGCCTCGTGGTCTGACGGAGTTTTGTTTCCGACAATAGGGTCATTTCTGATCCAGCATAACCCAGATTTTCAAATTCCTATTTTGTACCCAAAAGATATTCAACTTACAGCCTGTTTGAAAATAAAAATCCCCTTAAAAAGGATTTCCAGGTAATTTTTATTTTCAGACTAGCAGAACACCAAAATCAAGTATGCACCCTTAAATCTACTTTGACTCCTCTCCTCCTCAGAACGAAGAGCCAGCAGACGGCAAGAAGCCCACGAGACCACTGCTTTCACCCACTGTGTACACCGGGCCAGAAATGACACCGCCCTGAAAGACACTGATTCCAGAGAGAATCATGAACGCGCAGGAAATTGTGCCGAGTGAGTGGGAAGAGAGGATCATTTATGTGCTTAAAGTTAAAATATAACCTTATGAACACAGATCTATTTATTGACTGACCTTATCTTGATGAAGGGAAAAAAAGACTCTCCCAGGTAATACAAAAATAAATTCTACCTCCCAGCTGCAAACAGATGAGGGAGAAATCCTGCTTTCTTGTCATTTAATGGAAACTGTCCCTAACTTCCAATTACAGAAAATGGCAGACTTTATAATGGAGGGGGCCTTCCATTCTGAAATACAAAATATCAACTTGCATGAGCCATCCCGTACATTTCCATAAGCCTGTCATGCTGGGCGTAGAATCAGTCTCACAACTCTGAGCACAGGTGACAGAGACAAGGTGCACAGTGCAAGTTCTGGAGTGCCAGGCCACAGGAAGCCTGTCCTCTGCCGGGGCAGGACTTTGGGAAGGGCTGAGGCAGCCCAGGTGGTTCCCCAGGTTTGCTCAGCCCACTCAGCACAGGGTCACAGATACTACTGTGGGGGAACTGGCACCACCTGCCTTCTTGAGTGACACCTGTCTGTAGTTACAGCAGCAAAACTGGAAGCGGTCTTTCTTCCCTTCAAATTCTTAATGGAATTTTAAAAGATGAGTCTGTAATTAATAGTCTTTACTTTTCCTTAGTTAAGAACTTGAAAACCTGGTCAGCATTTGTCTAAAATTTTAGTTACCTGGCAATCACAGAAGCAGAACAATTCACAAATAGTAACAAAAATTTCAAGCAACTTTGAAGGTAGTTAAAAAAAAATCTACAAATATTCACCAGCCCCTCTCCTGTAGGAAATTCAACTTATTTTGCAGAAGTCAATATTATACATATTTAAATTATTAGCAAGAGGCTGTCTTATCTATCACTGCACCCACCCAGAGCCACTAACCAGAAGTCTTGCCTAAAAGTAGGTATCAGACAAATAATATTGCCATAATTTTTTTTTTTTGTGAGGAAGATCGGCCCTGAGCTAACATCTGCCAATCCTCCTCTTTTTTGCTGAGGAAGACTGGCCCTGGGCTAACATCCATGCCCATCTTCCTCTACTTTATATGGGACGCCGCCACAGCATGGCCTGACAAGCGGTGTGCCGGTGTGCGCCCAGGATCTGAACTGGTCAATCCCAGGCCGCCACAGCAGAGCGCGCACACCCAACCACTTGCGCCACCGGGCCGGCCCCACCATAAATTTTTTAAAAAACCAAACTGCTAATGGGTATGTGGATTTCTTTTTGGGGTGATGAAAATGTTCTGGAAGTAGACAGTGGTGGTGATTTGCACAACTTTGTGAATACACTAAAAATCACTGAATTGTACACTTTAAAAGGTCAATGTCACGGTATGTGAATTTTATGTAATAAAACTGTTATTTAAAAAGAAAGAAGATGGGCCGGCCCTGTGGCTTGGTGGTTAAGTGCGCGCGCTGCAACGCTGGCGGCCCGGGTTCGGATCCCGGGTGCGCATCGAGGCACCACTTCTCCGTCCATCCTGAGGCCGAGTCCCACATACAGCAACTAGAAGGATGTGCAGCTATGACATACAACTATCTGCTGGGGCTTTGGAGGGAAAAAATAAAATAAATAAAAAAAATCTTTAAAAAAAAAAAAAAAAAAAGAAAGAAGAAAACCACAAAGCATATGAATAGCACTCCTTACCTTGGTCTTTAAAAGTCTGTGTTATCACAATGCCATCTTCTGGAAATTTAGCGATGCTGCACCCTGATGCATAATACACTGGAAAATAGTTGTTCAAAGTTACGACAACACACAAACACTCAACCCTTTATCAACTGCTACTCATTTACCTAACATGCATTCTTTAGACACGTTATAGTTTCTAAAGCTGTTTTTAATCTTAAGAGAAGAGCTGCTATTATTGCCTGGTCACACTTAAACTACAAGTAATTACCTCAAAATTCAAGCTAAAAAATGCTGTTAATACAAGGTTGCTGAATAGATTTCAGAAGTCACAGCTGTCAGAGACTTGAAACAACCTAAGTCAGGACGAGCACAAATTTGTAATAATAATGCTCAAGATGATGTTCTAGAAACTAGCTACCAAAAACTAATCTGTGGGGAAACTTCTTCAATGAGATAAGCAAAGTTATTCCATAAACAGAATTTTATAAATAATCAGACCCTGTAAGGTTATTTCCTATTTTGGGAATATGCAGGATATAAAGAACCATATAGGTGGCACTGAAATTAGGAATGCTTGCATAGAATATTTTCATTTAAAAATCTGGATAAAACTAGAGTGGTTAACACCCTGCTTTACAGATGTCCTTTTCGAAAATACTGAATAGTTCTCTCCATAGACCCTACTTATTTAAGAATCATATCATTCTCTCTCTAACTTAGACTTTAAAGACATAAGGCTGGCTCCTGTTCTCAAAATCTCTTAGAATATGTGCCCTATTAAAAAGCAAACACAAAACCTTACTGTCATGGTTTGCCAAGGTAAAATCCCCTTCATACAGGCCATCGCTGAACGCCATATTCCAGACAGACAGAAGTTCATTCAGAGCTGGGATATTAGCTCCGCCAGTGTCTGGCATCCACCACTGCCTGTGAAAGTGATAAGGAGGCACGGAGAATGAAGGGATTAAAACACCCCATTCACACTTAATCTTTTCATGACCAAACTAAATTTCACCTGCCAGAATCCAGTCCATCCACACTAAGGCTTCAGCGGGAACTGTCTGGGGTTGAGTAATACTACAACATAAAGGCTTCAGCCGAATTTGTTAGTAAATCAAAGCTAAATTTATTTCATGAAATGCACCATATATAACACAAATGCACTGCATAGAAAGCCTAGACCCCAAGAGGGTCAGTGAAGGAAAAGAGATGAGAGAGCAGCTTATAAAGTTCAAGGCACAGACTCTAAAGAAAAAATTCCAAATATTTTATAGGGGTGATACACTCATAATACACTAAGAATCTTTGATTGATAACTAATTTACTGGAAGGTTTCTTTACGTAACAGTTCCTTCGGTGTATTCACATTTGTATAGATTCAGTAATAGAGAGATGGAAGGATGGAAAAGAACTAAACAAATTTACAGCTCAAGTATCTAAGATCAACAAGGAAAGACAATGAACTCTTTAATTAACACCTGGAATCAGTGAGCACTGTACTTACTTTACAAGCACTTTTCAAGCACATCTCCGCTCTATGAAGAGAGTGCTCTCTCTAACCAAGTGTCTGAACCTGTCTCTGACAACCGAAAACACAACTAATGGGCCAGTCACTTGAAGTATTTGCTGGGTGGAATTTAATTCCAAAAAAGTCAAATGTCTTATCCAAATACCAGCTCCTCTCAGTACCTTGTGTTTTCATCGTAAAACTTGACTTTTCTCATAACAGACGTGTTGTACCAATCACTGAAGACAATGAGCGAAAGGCCGTTGTCCACGTCCCTCCTCAGTTTGGCAACCTCCTCGGGGAAGTACTCCTCTTCGCTGTCCACCATGAGCAATGTTCCTGAGGGGCAAAGCGGCAGGTGTGAGAACGCTCACCTCTGAACGATAGGACATCACTGCTTCAGAAACACAGTGTTTTACTGGCGTCCATATCTCAAGTTAGGACTTCTAATGTTTCAGTTTATGCCCCTGGACCCCCTCAGAAGGGGGTGAAAGAGAAAAGATCAGGGCCCAGCAGTACAGACACCAGCTAGCTGTGGCCCTCTGACTCATTTGTGACACCCAGTATAATGACATTTCACTTACTTGAGAAGAAGCAAAATTCAATGCCAGAGTTTTTTTAATTAAAAAAATAAGTAAAAACGTACAATTGTCTGTCCCAAGTTTAATAGTTTGGCACTTTAGCTGAAGGTTACACCCATCACCACCAAACAGAACACACGCCACTCCCTTGGGAGCCTCGTCCGGGCCTCCACAAGGACCAGGAGACCCTGCACATGCTCCCTTGCTGGTCTCTCATTAAACTGTAATTCACCTCTCAAACTTTTCACAAACACCCAACTGAGCAGAAAGAACATCTGGCTAGCACCTCGTTGCTGCTCACCATACTGATTAGCGTCAAAGCACGTGAAGGGGGAGCCGAGGACTTCGACAAAGTAGCCCATGCTTCTCAAGTGTTGGTACATGTCCCTGAAGTTGGTGTGGATGTGGTCGCCATTCCTGAAAAATAGTAAGGCCGGCACTAAAACAACCAATCTTGACTTATAACGAAGGCTTATCTAGAGTTCATTTCCGAAACCCGGTCATCTCTGAGGGAGCACAACTCCAGCCCCAGCACAGGCCTAGGGAGTCCAGCCCAGGCAAAGAAGTCGGCCTTCCAGATCTGCTTTCTCTGGGCTGCATATAAAATGGTGATGATAGGAAATCATGCACACGGCTCGGGCATGAAGGAGATAAAATGGCAAGAAGAAATGGCCAACGAAATGATTTGTACAGTGCACTGAAGCATCACTTCAGCAGTGGCATATGCGTAAATGGCTAACAACCACCCCAAATGCAGCATGGGAACACAGAAAGGCCGGAACAAGCGACCCGGGGTGAGTGAACTAAGACGTCGACACACAGTTAACCTAGCATCACTGCTGCTTATCACCTTTCCGTCCTTTTTCCTCCTAAACATGCTCGTTTTCCTATTGTACACTTTATGTAAGCCACCTACTCAAATGCCCCCTGGAAACCTGCCACCCCCACCTCACAGCCTGCACAGTGCACCTCCTCAGCAGGGCTGAACCCACACACCCCTCTCTCAGCCCACGGCCATTTCCTTGGTCTATCAACTTCTCACCATTTCTTGTCCACCTGCCTCTGGTCTGAGCCGCTCCAATCTGCCTTCCAGAAACGTCTTTATAAAGAGCAGAGCAGATCTAACCCTGTAAGTCCTGCTCAAATCTTTCAATGCTCCTTCGTCCCCCCACTTTCAGCATGAAGTCCAAACTCCTCTACTTAACACTAAGGCAGAAATGAGCTTGGCGTATGGGCCAAGAGAAAGTTGACCCAGCCGCCCTGGAGGGAAAGCCAGAGAGGGGTGGGTGGGGGGCTGCAAAGGGGCAGGGTCTGGAGGGTTGAGAAGGACACACCGGAAGTCTGGCACGTGAAGAAGTCTGGAAAGGCAGCCACTGGAGAGTTTTAAGCATCGTGATAGAATTAATGTTTTTTAAAGATTACCACCAGAGCTGCTACATGCAGAGTGGAATTTAGGGGAGCAGTGAGACTCGTCAGGAGGCTGCCGACGCCGGCCAGGCAAGAGATGACGACAGCCTGAACCAGGGTGGGAGCAGAGGCAGTGGCCAGATAGGGCAGGATTCAGAACATATTTTGGGGGTAGAACTGAGGGGATTTGCTGACGGATTCAACAGAGGAAGTAAGGGAAAGAGAGCAAGTAAGGACGAGTTCAAGAATTTTTACTGCATGACTGTGAAAGTCTGAAAGGACAGTAGGGTGCCCTGAGAGCATAACAAGGACCTGCAAAGTTGGGGAGGTCGTGGAAGTCCAGGTTCAACAAGGAGCAATGACTGCTCCCCAAAAGGCCAGCAACCCTTGGTGCTGCTGTGGAAGGACTGGTGGCTGCTTACCAGTCCAAAGGGTCATTCTTCATTCTCAGATTATCCCTGGGGAAATAGCCAGGCGGGTAGCGGAGGTTGTGGTACTGGTCCCAGAGAACTCTCTTGCTTCGAGGAGGAGCAGGAATTATCTTCACCTTAATTGGGAGCTTCACTGTTGAAGTCTGTTCTGCACCATTTTTTGACTGAAAAAAATAAAAGAAACTTGAAACGCCCCTTTTGCCCAGAAGAAACTTTCAGGTTTTTGGGTTTAAAAAGTCACTTCTATTTATCAACTTACCCCAAATAATTTGAACACAGGAATTTCTAATAACATAGGAAGGAACATTCATGTACCACAATTAATTCCATTCAAATTCTTCTTTTAAGAGTTTAAGACTTAAAATTTAATGCACCTTGTTCCTAAAAACTATTAGACTACATAGGATTAACCCTACATTCCCCTTTAGAGAATGCATATTATTTGCAATCATTTTGAGTTTGAAATCTGGCAGAAAATTGTCCTATCTGCTGTTGCTCAGCAACAAAATCGGGGGCACCATCACTCATTTATTAAGTGGGTTTCTAACCTCCAGCTGCTCCAGAGGCCCCAGAACTATCGATCACGGCTGTCTGTCAACTGTGCTTCAAATCTGAGACCCCGAGCATTCAGCCTGCCCTCCCTCCTTGCAGGTGACCTGAAAGGCTAAGGAACACGAGCCCCTCCCCTGCATGCACTTACTTCCCCCTCTGCTGGGGATGCCACGGTGATCATGACATGGCCCTGCGCGGTGCCTTCCCAGGAAGCTGCTTTCTTGGTAACAGAAATGGAAATGGCCAGGTAGCCTGACCAAGGCCATAACACCGAGGAGTAAGAGAAAGCAACTTCGATGTTGTCTCCGTTCTGGGGTAAATAGGGCTGCCAGTCAGGCTGCAGGAGAAAAACAAGCAAGGCTAAGGTGACATGCTCAACCCCTATATTACCTACACCAGTTTTTGAGAAATATTTCATTAAATAGGGCAAAATGAAATTTATACTCAGATACTAAGCAACCTATAACCAAAGTAGCCTATGGAATGTCTAGAACATCATCCACTAGAAAAGTCTAGAAACCACTATTTCTATTTTTTTTTTTTTTGAGGAAGATTGGCCCTATGCTAACACCTGTTGCCAATCTTCCTCTTTTTTTTTTTTTCCTCCCCAAAGCCCCAGTATATAGCTGTATATTATAGTTGTAGAGCTGTAGCTCTTCTACGTGGGATGGGACCTCGGCATGGCTTGAGGAGTGGTGAGCAGTTTCGCGCCCAAGATCCAAACCGGTGAACCCCGGGCCACCAAAGCAGAACACGCGAACTTAACCGCTACGCCACCGGACCGGCCCGCTAGAAACCACTATTTCTGACAGCTTCCAATTTCAAAGAGAATTTTTTCTCAAGCTTAAAGAAAAGGGGACACATGGTTTGACAAAGAACTTTTATCTGATAGAGAACTACAATAAATGAAAACTCAGGTTTGAGGTTAGATTCTAATTAGTTGTATATTTAAGAAAATCACATTAATTAAAAGAAATAAGATAAAATGATATGGATGCTAACTGTCCCCAATCAGATTCTGAAGCTAGTGACTGGGCAGGCAGAGGTGTAAGGGACGCCCAGAGAAAGAGCTGGGTTGGCTGTAAAGACGACTGACCGCCCTTTCAGTCTCTCTAGGTTTGAGGAAGCAGAAAGGGAAGCAAGAGAGCAGACATCTGGAAGAAACATAAATTAGCTCTTACAATGAACCAATATTTCAAACTAACCTAAATTACTCATTTCCCTCACAAGCCAGATAGCAACAATATACTCCCCAAGTAAGTTGCATATTTAAAAACATTCTGAAAAAGAAGAAAAAGTGTTTGTAGGACACAGCATCACAAACAACGAGGAAGGAAAGAGATTTTTAATAAATGCTCCTGAGACCACTGGTTAGCAATTGGGTAGTTAATTTTCATCCATCTCTTAAATACCACATATCAAATTAACTCAACATTGATGAAAAAATTACATATTTAACAAGCTTAAAAGGAAAATTAGTAGAAAATTGAGATTTTATTTTATCTCTGGAAGGATAAAGTTTCTAATTTTTGAAACAACAGAAATCACAAAAGATGAAAATTCAAACTACATGAAGATGTAAAACTTTTACAGAACTAAAAAAATAAAAACCACCACTAACATTAAAGATAAAAGAAAACAATAACCTGGGAGAACTTTCTGCATAAAACAGAACAATGGTTAATTTCTCTATGACATGAAGAGCTTGTTCAGATTGACAGGGAAAACCCAAACTGCAGGAGAAAAGTGGGCCAAGGAAATGAAAAGCTAATTCACACAAGAGGCAATACAATTAGTAAACAAACCTAGAGATAGTCCTTCAGAAATAACTGAAGAAGTGCACACTAGACAAGATATGCATTTCACTCCCTCTAAATTTAAAGTTAAAAAATGAACCACCTAGAAAGAAACCAAATGTCCATCAACTGATGAATAAGCAAAATGAGGCACATCCATACCATGGAATATTATTCAGCCATAAAAAAGAATGAAGCACTGATTCCACATGGACGAACCTGTAAGCCGTTATGCTGAGGGAAATAGGCCAGTCACAAAACACCACATACTGTACGAGTCCATTTACATGGACTGTCCAGAGTAAGTAAATCCATAGAGACAGAAATTAGATTAGTGGTTGCTGGGGGCAGAGAGAATGGGGAGTGACTGCTAAGAGGGGTTTCTTCTGGGGGTGGTGAAAATGTTCTAGAACGATATAATAGTGATGGCTGCATCACCGCTTGTGAATATACTAAAAACCACTGAATCGCACAATTTAAAACATTTTGTGGTATGTGAATTTTACTTCACTTTTTCAAAACCTCATGGAATTAAAAAAAAAGATGCACCATTCAGTGCAGGCCCCGTGGAGACACCACCCCTTTGCATAAAACCGGCAGCACCACCAGCAGCCGCTTGGGCTGACGTGACTCTTCTCGTGGAAAGAATTTGGCAGTACGTCCCAAGGGCCATAATAACGTCCACACCCTCTGACAAAGGATTCCAAACCAGGGAGTCTATGTTAAGAAAATAATTCAGAAGAAAAGAAAACCATATATGCAAAGTAATTCAGTGAAGTGTTCTTTATAGTTGAAAACCACCTAACTGTTCAAGCAAGGGAAACACTAAGCAAATTATGATTTAACAAGTCTATGTACTATTAAACCACCATTAAAAAGTACATTTATATAAACAGCTACATTTTAAAATGTTTACAACATAATGAGAACTGAAAGAAAAAGACTAAAGTTTTGCCCACTGTACAAAGATAACAAAAAATATGTATTTCAGATAAGAACTGGAAAAGAATATTTAAAAAACAGTGGCTATGTGAGTGTGCTGGGACTGGAAGTGATTTTTCTGTTCTCTCTCCCTATCCTCTATTGTTGTGAGAACGTTTACACAGTAAATATTAAAAAAAAATTACAAAAACAAAATTCACATAAAGATAATATCTTCTAAACTCAAAGGCCCGTTCATGCGCATTAAAGAATAACATAATTACAAGCGGGCCTTTAATTATAGATGAGAAATTGTAAAGACGAGGAATCAAATGTAATCAGTTGGTTCAGGAGCAGATAGATGCTGACTCAGGACGCCACAGTCAAAAAGTAGCACACTGGTTCCATTCCCTCCTGCTGCCTTCTCTGTATAGGACTGAGGGGAGAACAAAGCCCTCTTCAATGCCCTGGCCCCGGGGAACAGGGGAGAACTTCTCCTCTTCTAACGTCAAGAGAAAGGGTTGAGACACAAAGGTCTGGGCCATGTCTAAGTTCACCACAATGCCAAGAGCAGTCTCACCTTGTCTACGATTCTTCCAGTGACACCCATGCCGTTGAGGATCGTGACATTGACGATGGTCGGCATTCCTCCGTAGTAGATGGGCTGAGAGCAGTACGGCCACATGTAGGGACACTCAGTCAGATCTATGTAGCTGGGGCTCAAACTGAAACAAAGAATCGAGTGTTAGAGTAGAGGGTGTAGCAAACGATAGCAAAGCAACACAACTATGCAGAGAGAGCCAGCCTCTGAGGACCTGAGCTTACAAGGGCCTGCCCACAGGGCTACCCTCGGCAGCGTCTAGGAACTTGCTGTGGAACGCTCCCTGCGCTGAGAAGGCCACTGGCCAGCCTGCCTAGACTGTTGGTACGAACAACAGGATGTGTGGGGACACCTCTTTCCTTCTGCGAGTCTAGAACTCTGGTGGTTGTGGCTAGTGGAGAATGGGTACGTGAGTTCCAAATCACAGCATTTCAAATGACTGGGGCAAAGATACACTTGTTTTTTTTGTTGGTGAGGAAGATCAGCCCTTAGCTAACATCTGTTGCCAGTCTTCCTCTTTTTGCTGAGGAAGATTAGCCCTGAGCTAACATCTCTGCCCATCCTCCTCTATTTTGTATACGGGAGCCACCACAACATGGCTTGGTGAGTGGTGCCTTGGTCCAAACCCAAGACCCGAATCCTTGAACCCCGGGCTGCCAAAGTGGAGCATGCGAACTTAACCACTACGCTGCCCCCACAAAGACAGATTTTTTAATAAATGGAGCTGTGACAAATGAGTGGCCATTTGGCAAAAGATAAAATTAGATCCATACTCACACCATACGCAAGAATAAACTCCAAACGGATCAGAGTCTCAAGTAAATAAAAGAAAGCAAACATGTAATAGAAAAAAACATGGGTGAACTTCCCTTTTACCTCAGCACAGAGAGAGACTTTCTGTGACTCAAAATCCAAGGGCAACAACAACAAAAGACTAACAAATTTGGCTATTAAAAAAAAACTGCACGTCACAAAACACTTCGCACAAAGTTAAAACACAACCGACAAACTGGGAGAAATACTTGCAGTACATATCACTGACAAAGGGTCACTAACTCTAGTATATAAAGAACTCTTAAAAACGAGGGACAAAAAACCCCAGAGAAAAATGGGAAAAAGAAATGAACAGACACTTTACAAGAACGGTATAAAAATGGCCCTTAAACACAGACAAAGTGTTCAACCCCACTCACAACGTGAGAAATGCAAATGAACACCACTGAGACCCCACTGCTCACCTACCAGACGGGCAGAGGCTCTGGGGCTATAGGCACGCTCAGACAGCACTGTGCAATGCAAGCGGGCGCAACCTCCTGGAGGGGAGAGAGCCACAGCTAACAAAGCCACCCACGCTCTGAACTTTGACCCAGCAACCCCACTTCCAGGAACCTTCCCTGAAGACACAGCGCCAACAAAACTAAAATACACAGGTACCAGACCATTCATTATAACAGTTTATAAGTACAAAACACTGGAAACAATTTCAGTGCCCATATATAGACAAATGGATGAATACACAATGGTACATCCACATTATGCAGCTGTAAAAAGAAGGAAAATCTCTATGAATTTATGAGAGTGATTTCCAAGATACTGTTAAGTGAAAAAAGCAAAGTGCAAAAGAACATTCACAGTCATGCTCTCCTTCACATAAGGAAGGGCATGTAAGAAAACAGCTATGTATCTGCTCATTCGTGCAAAAAGAAGTACGAGAAGGATCAACTGAAAACTGAGACTGTTCCCCACAGGGGTGGGTGGGGACAGGGGAGAGCATGGAGGAGTGGGGACGGGACAGAAAGGATGCGGGGAGTGACACTTCCCCAGGAGCACTTCCGTGTGCAGTTCTGACTTCAGAGTCATGATATGTTTCACTAATACATAACTAGTTGGAATCAACCAGGACGTGGGGGGAATCCAAAAGAAACACAGACTAACAAAGGAACTCAGTGGTATTAACAACGACTAGGAAACCACACTGAGGGGAAGAAGAAAAGAATTAACCTCACTGACTTTGGAGAACAGCGTGACTATATTCTGTAAGCCAAAGACAACAGAACTGTACACAAATACCACCCTCGAGGCAGTACGTTTGATTTTCAGAGGAATGGGTTAGCAATTCTAAACTACTCAGTATGTATAGACCAGGACTGCACAAATAGGTAAACACACCGTGGATAATGAGCAGCAGGCCCCTGTTGGAGCAAAGAGCTACAAATAAGAAGAGGGAATACGAGAACGAAAACCAGCTTGTTGGGTGGGATCAGGTATTAATGAACTTGTGTCTTCATCTATGTAATGATGGACAGATGTAGAAATAGGTCCGGATGGTGTGTGTACAGACAGACATTTCCTAGCTCTGTCTGCTGAAAGGGCCTAGAAACAACTGTGAGCCCAGCTGCCACGAGCACACTTCGTGCCCAGGTCTCGGGTTCTAAATACCACTCTCCAATTAAAGGACCAGGGCTGCTTGGAGAAAGGACTAACACCAAGGCTCGGGCCTGGAGATGCATGAAGGATCAGACTGTGCAGCCAGAGAGTGAGAAAGCGCTCAGAAAATGAGGGGGATATGCTGAGAAGACACAGGAGCCAACTAGAAGGAGCTCCCAGTAGCCTAATCTGGGACAATCTGAGCAAAATGATAAACAACGATATTAATGGACCATAATCCCCAGAGTAAAATAAGTATCCACATGTCCATACTGATATAAATAATTGAATAAGTAAATAAACGAGAGAGAAAGGACAGCTCTTCCTTACAGCAGAATTCCAATTAATAAATGTAAAAGGAATGAGAGAAACAGAAAATTCCCAATCTCAGGGCCGGCCCAGTGGCATAGCAGTTAAGTGTGCGCACCCCACTTCGGCGGCCCAGGGTTCGCGGGTCGGATCCCAGGCGCGTGCCGATGTACCGCTTGTCAAGCCATGCTGTGAGGGTGTCCCACATAAAGTAGAGGAAGATGGGTACAGATGTTAGCCCAGGGCCAATCTTCCTCAGCAAAAAGAGGAAGATTGGCATCAGATGTTAGCTCAGGGCTGATCTTCCTCACAAAAAAAAATCCTCAATCTCAACAGTAATCTCTACAGTAACAATCATTGCAGGCAAGAACCATCAGGGATGCTCAAATTAGTGAGTGAAAGTATGTTCAGAAACAAGATCATCCAAGTGCACACCCAGAAGACACTTGGTAGTCAAAAACAGACAAACAGTAACTGCAGTGGAGAAACCCGGCAGATGCCACGGATGGCACCATGAGCCATGCTGCTCAGACCTCCTGCTGCAGGAGCACAGCCAACCGACACCTCTAGCTGAGGCCCCTCCCGACCCTCCACCACGTCTGTGCTGAGGCCAAGCTTCCCCCAGGCTGCTCCCAGTCAATGACGGAGTACAGAGGGGTGCTAGGGCAGGCTCCTCTAATGGGTGACTTTGGTTCAAGGACTCCCCATCATGGAAACATTTTGAGACCTGTGTTGCGATCTGAGGCTCTTGCTTCCCAATCCTCCTGCCTCCCACTTCTTTTCACAGGCATCAGATCAGCACGGCTGTCCTAAGACTCTCCCCGTCTCCTTCCTTTTCTCCTTCTCAGGTCCCTCTTCTCCCAGCAGATCTCTGGGATGTCTCACCCCATCTTGGTGTCTGCCTCCTGGAGGGCCCAGACTGACACATCACTCAAATCAAATGATGCAAACGAACACAAGTAATAAAAGGAAGAGAATTGAGGAAGTGTCCCCGCCTGGAGGAGACCAAGGAGATGCGACAACTAAATGCAACGTGGGATGCTCAGCTGATCCTGCACCAGGGAAAGAACAGGAGTGGGACAACGGGCGAAATCTGAACGCAGTCTGCAGATGAGTCGATGGTAACAAATCAATGCTCATTTCTACGCCTTGAGGCTTGTACTATGGTTACATAAGATGTTAACATTAGGGAAAGTTGGGTGAAGGATTTATGAGTCCTCATGTACTATTTTTGAAACTTTGTTGTAAATCTAAAATCACTTCTAAATGAAAAGTAAGAAAATTCTTACCAAAAATACAAAATCTCAACCTAATCATGAGAAAACATCAGATAAACTTACATCAAGAGATAGTCTACAAAGTAAGTAACCAGCACTCCTAAAGGAGTCGGAGTCATGAATGACAGCATAAGACAGACAAACTGCCGAAGGCTGGAGGAGACTAAAACGACACGACACTGAACGTGATGTGGGGCCTGGATCCTGCACCAGACAAAGAGCACGAAGGGGAAACCGAGGAATGCGCATGAAGCCTGCAGGTGAATTACAGCACAGTGTAAGTGTGCATCTGTCAGTTTTAGTAGTTGGATGATTGTCAGCTGAGATCTTGGCACTAGGGAAAGCTGGGTAACGGTACAACTTCTATACTACTTTTGCAAATTTCTGTAAATCTAAGACTATTTGGAAAGAAAGTTTTAAGAAGTAAAAAGAAAGTAGGAAATCATTTTAAACCATTTGTATTATAATAACAGCACGTCAGGAAATGGAGAGCAGCTAAGATTCTGCCAGCCGGCACCCAGTAGAAGCAGCAGCTGTGAAGCTCTCCCTGTGGGCCGAGTGTTGTGTGATCAGTGATCAGCTCCTGTTTTGAGGCTAGTCTTTCGTGCCGAGGAAAAACACCCTCAGAGCCCAGTGAAGAAGAAAAAGGCCCATTCAAAAGGGAGCATACCATGGGGCCGGCCCGCTGGCGCAAGTGGTTAAGTGCGCACGCCCTGCTGCAGCGGCCCGGGGTTCAATGGTTCGGATCCCAGGCGCGCACCGACACACTGCTTGGCAAGCCATGCTGTGGCGGCGTCCCATATAAAGTGGAGGAAGATGGGCACGGATGTTAGCC